ATTAATTTTTATGAAAATTAAAAATAAGTTATTTATTTTTTTAAAAAATTAAGCTTAATTTTCATGAAAGTTAAAAATAAGTTAGTTATTTTAAAAGGGCTCATTGAATTTTTCAAAAATAAAAAAAAAAAATCATTTTGAATAGAAGATGAATGATACTAAAGAAATCAATACGCTTATAGAAAATTATATATAAAAGTTTCTTAATAATTTGTCGTCTAGGGCATTTACTATCTTAGGGCCGGCTCTGATCATAAAGGATATATTTGTGTCACCATTCCTTACATTGATAAGTTTTGAATCATGCATAAAAATAATTGCATTTAAAGTTATTGAATTTTTGCAGCATGCTCAAAATAGTTTAAATATTTTAACCAATGCACTACGAGAGTTTTGTTGCGAATATAAGGTAAACATTTTCACTTTTGATAATGCTAGTCTTAATACAAATATTATAGAAAAATTGATTAAAAGCTATTGCTTTTATTTTTGTCTCTCCATCTCAACAAAAAGCATTTACGAATATATGTGCACATGCGAACTTACCAACCGTCGATATATGTAACTTAATTATTATACGATTATTATTTATTTTATAATGTTAGGCAGGGGCGGATCCAGGATTTTAAGTCAGCACGGACAGTCTTGGCGTCGATATCAATAAAATATTAAGAGCTCATTTGATGCCAATTTTTATTTTAAAAAAATGCATTTTAGAATAGTGATTTGCTGGAGAATGTGTGTTTAAAAATAAGGAAATGTTTTGAATTTACGTGTAATATTATTTTATTGAAAATTGTGTGGTCGGAAAGAAGAGTGAAAAATGTATTTTGCAAAAAAATGGGAATCAAAGCCTAAAATTTAAATATAAAAATTCTTTTGTTCAAATTGAACATATATAATTTTTTTATACAAGTTAAAAATACTCACCAAATGACATTGTGGCCAAGTTATAATTTAAAGGAAGAGCTCAAGCTCTATAATCAAAGCCTAAAATTTAAATAAAAAAATTATTTTGTTCAAATTGAACATATATAATTTTTATACAAGTTAAAAATACTCACCAAATGACATTGTGGCCAAGTTATAATTTAAAGGAAGAGCTCAAGCTCGAGTTCAAATTTTTACAATTGCATTAAAACTTAATATATATTATTAAGTTAACAATAATGTCAAACGCAGCAAGTGTCCTAATGATAAGGATTCCAATAATCTTTAAGGATAGTCACGGGTTTGACTTGCCATTAATTTTGGTAAATATTTTAAAATGGTAACAATTGGAGAACTAAAATATATATGAATTGCAAGTCATGGAATCGAACCAGAGACATCTCATAAGAATTGTAAATTCTAATCAACTCAACTAAAGGAGACATTTGAAAATGAAATGAAATAACCATTATATAAACTAAAAACTTTATCTATTGTTTAAAAAAAAATAAAGTTCCGGCTGATCCAGCACCGCGTGGCCGTAGGGGCTCGCGGGTGCGAGTCCACCCCTGACGTTAGGCATTCATACGGTTCTGATTATGATATAAATTCTAATGATTGGTTAATTACTTTTGAGATTATTGACATTTTTAAAGGTTTTCTTTGATGTGCTCAATGCGTGCACAATTGTGTACAATT